TTGCTATTGCTATTGCTATTGTCTTCAACCTACAACCACAATTGAGGCCAAAATTTCCATTCTCGCTAAGCAAGATAAATGTTAAGTGAATTTGACTCATTTTATGCCCTTTCTTGCCAGGGTTGTTAAGTGAATCATTGAAATTGTTAAGTGAATAACATGGCTGTTAAGTGAATCTGGCTTCCCCATTGACTTTGCTTGTCAGAAGGTTGCAAAAACTGATCACATGACCCCCGGGACACTGTAGCCATCATAAATATAAACCAGTTGCCAAACATCTGAATTTTGTTCACATGACCACAGGGATGCTGTGACAGCCGTAAATGTGAAAAATTGTCATTTTTTCCCCCTGCTGTTGCAACTTCAAACAGTCAAATATATGGTTATAAGTTGAGAAGTATCTATATTACAGAAAGTCTCTGCTCATCTTTTTTTCTTAGCTGTATTTGAGATGTGTGAATTTAGGGTGTTTGCAGGAGCTGAAGCCTTTACACTGTATCTTGTGTACTGTTTTTCATCTCTGCGGCTGGGGAAATTAGGCTGTTTCTTTTAGAATATATACCCCATGGAAGATTTATAAAGATTCTTCAAGTGGCTTACACCATAGCATTAGACCACGAATCCACAATAAATAAAATTGAAAGCCCCTTAACACAGCATGGTCATTCCAAAGAGCAAACCACAACATAACAATGAAAATGAAAACAATGTGCAAGCAGCAGGTAGCATAGCAATTAAAAGCCCATCATATCCCCGCAAATGTTTGCTGGAATGAGAAATTGAAGAGAAATGCCATTTCTATAATAGAACAGAAGAGATAGCTGATCAAGGTGGCAATTTCCAAACACCAGTATTGCTCAGTTGGGAACATTATTCTTTGTCCCTTTGACAAGGTGTGCAAACAAATGAGATAACCTGATGACTGAACATCTTGAAAAATTAAATGCTCGCTGTGATTAGAGTCGCTGCTCTAATTTGAATCTCTATGTGTCTGATGTCTAGGTCCAAAATGCTGTTCATGAGCATTATCCTATGACCTGGGAAATCCGAAGAACTATTTAAATAAATTAATTTCAGCTACAGTCTGAAAAATCTTGAGAAATTCCTGAATGGAACTACTATACGTATCTTTTGTCATACATTATTTATTGCGTCCATGGATTAGACTGACAGCTCCGGTTTTATACCCTGTCTCCACAGCACTGGCCTCATCTTATCCTCGGGCTGCTATTGAGGCAACCTTATCCTGTTGTTTTGCAACACCTGCCAGCTAGAACAACAGCGCAGAGGGAGCCTGTCAAGCTCATAATTATGCTGGCAGCTTTTCTATCACCGTAACAGAGGCTGGATTGTACTAAGGATTATTCCTCGAAACAGCTCTACATGAGTCCCAACCCACCACTGGATGGCCATCTTAACAGTGGGGTTACACTTCTGGGCTGGCATATTTTATTTTCTCAACAACCTCTTGACCTGCACAACTGCCTTGCTGTGTGTTTTCATGCTGCATAACAATCTCTTTATATAAGGACAATCTATAAACCCTGTTAACATGTTGAAAGGTTTGGTAGAGGTCTAGGGCATGTACTTCTGGATCAAACCAGCAAGCAGCAAGAGAACAATATCTCTCTTAATAAAAATTAGTGTTGAGAGTGGGATGGAAAAGAAAACACAGTTGTCTAGCTATGTAAGAGCCCTATTTTCCCACCACTGTGGTCATTGTGATACAACTCTTCCTCAAAGAGCAGTTTCAGACAAGGATGGGGGAAGGGAGATTGGCTGTAGGTTCCTCTGTGCAAGGTGCTATGGGGTTCAAGGCTCTCCTTGATTGTATTCAATAGCTACATTAAGGCACTTGGTGACATTCTTTACCAACATGAGATCAAGTGTTGCCAGTGCTTTAGATCTCAACCAGGGTGGATAAAATGGTGGTGTTGAAATGCTGTCCAGGTACTTGGAGGACGTTTGGGTCTGAAGGAAGAGGATCAGGCTGAGCCTTAATCCCAACAAATTAGCTTCATGTAGTGGTGTGTGTGAATGACCGTGTTCTGACCTAGTCCTCCCGAGATCATGAAGCAGACTCCTCATCCCAATGAAACCTCTTTTAGTTAGGTTAAAGGGAATTCCTCTCCAGCAAAATCCCGGCAAACAGTCTTCCATGAGATTTCACAACTGCAGACCTTGGACAGTTGCCAAGCTGATATCTTCCAAATGCCACACTGTAGCAGCAATTACGGGAACAGATCTTTACCCTAATGAATTGAACTAATTGTCTCCTGCAAACTCCCCTCCCCTCTTTATTCCCTATGGGCGGGGCCATTCACTGTCCACCTGTGCCTTTACTTCCGAGTTGGCCCTTGTTCCTTAGTTGTTCTGTTCTCCCGGCAGCTCTGTGCATGCACACACTAGGGACAGGCTCGATCTGTTCTTCTGCCCCACTGATATCTGACTCCAAAGGCAGCTGATAACTGTCAGATGGCCCTGGCCCTTCCTCTATCTTGTCAGAGCTTTCCCCAGACTCCAGGACTGGCCCATGTTCCTCCCCAGCATCCTCACTTTCCAAATCTGCTGCCAGATCCGCTGGCCACTGGTGGGCCACAACACTTGGGATGCAGGAAGAAGACTTGCAATTTAGGCAATAGTCTAATAAGAGGCTGGAGGTGAGAAATAAGCATGAAAAGTGTTTATGAAGGTGTGTTTTTTTTGGACTCTCTCTAGTTTTCCTGAAAATAAAGAGAAAGGT